CTGTAAGGTTGTGATTAAATTAAAAATTTTGAAAGTGTCACTAGCCTATATTTTAAAGCATCTGTGTGAAGTCCTTTTTTACCTAAATTCCAGTTAGCATATAATGGATTTTTAGGGGAAAAAAACCAAACTAATTTCGTGTTAGTGGCATGTATATGTAAGAAAAGGGTATGCAAAGGAGAACAGAAAAGAACAGCAATAGTGAATAATTGCTAAATTCACAATGTAGTGTTCTCTTGGCATTTTCTCTTATGAAATATACTCATTTGTTTCTTTAGATCACTTTCCTTATATGGGAAGGTGTCATCATTAAATATGGTGATTGAGTCTGAGTCTCAGCTAGGAAGTGCTAACTGGATGAAAAATTCAACTGGTTTTTTGTTTGTTTGTTTGTTCTGACCAGTAAGGAGATCGCAACCCTCGGCATGGTGTGGTCTGCACCACGCTCAGCCTGTGAGCGCACAGGCCATCCCTATATAGAATCTGAACCCGCAGCCTCAGCGCTACCAGTGCCGCACTCTTCCTATTGAGCCACGGGCCGGCCCTCAACTGTTTTTTAATCGAAGACATTCGGCCTTAAAATGAACATGTGGTTATTACAACAGAAATCTAAATAAATCCTCTAAAGATTTTCTCTGGTGATTTCTATTTCCTGCAGTCTCTCTAAAACATATATTATAAAACATTATATTATAAATCAATTGTATATATTCTGAAGAATTATTGTATAACTCTTCCTTTTTCAGGTGAGATGGGGTTGGAGAGGTAGACAGTTTTCATATCACACAGAACCTTTCATATTTTCAGGACATTTTGTGTTTTTTCTTAGTAGTGCTTGTCATGATTAAGTAATTTTATTTGTATGACTGTTAAAAGAATGTCTCTCTTGATAGACTAAGCTCTATGTATTCGGGACCCACAGGACTATCACCTGGAGTACAGTGTATAAACAAAAACATAGGACTCATGGCAATCTTAAGATTTGAATCCATTTTGTGTGAAAATTTGTTTTCACATACTTAATGTAATAGCTTTCAAAGAATTTCATTGCATAAGAATGTTAATTATTTGCTCTAAATGTCCCCATCCTTTAAGAGGGAATAATATGTAATAATCTGAATTAATTAGGAAAATGTCAAGGAGTCATTTGTCTTTATTTGTTGGCCTTAAGGACAGGGATTTTTGTCTGGATTTTTTCATGGTTTTATTCCTAACAGCAAGAACAGTGCCTGGCATAGAAATATATGTTGAATCAATGATTAATAAAAGTTAA